GCAATGTTCCTAAATGGCAATATAAAAAAATGATGTTATCATAAATATGCTCTTTGTACTGCGGGGAATGCTAAAAAGCCCCTTGGGAATATGGCCCTAAGGACTAGGCTCTGGATGATGTGTTATTTTTTTTTTAATTATTATAATTGTGCTAATATGTATTTTTTTTTAGAGAATCAATGTAATTTTCTTTTTTTATATAAAATGTAATTTGATCCAAAGTGTTGTGAAAGCTTAAAAATGAGGTGTTTTTAATGTGTTAGGGATCCAAAGCGAAAAGAAAATCCTTTATAGGGAATTTCTTCTCATTTGGATATCCTATTGAATGGTGCAACACGAGGAGCTTGAAGAAAAAGAAGATGAAGATAAAAAAAAATACCTCATTTTAAGACTTGCGTCATTTCATAAGAATAGAATCCGGGTTGTTGTCGGTGGGGCCCGGCCACATCTACTTTTCAGTACTTCTTGGGTTGTATAATAAGTGGCACTTGCCACAGACTTTTGGACACTCTGATTAATATTATTGATGTGATGATGCGTTTACTTTACTTGCGTATTAGAACTGCATGCTTTTTCTTAGGTTTCTTAAATTGCTTTGTTTAGGTGTGGCTCGGACGGAGTCAACGTTAGGCTCTTTAGGATGTTAAATTTTCTATAAAGTTAAAATTTGTTTAAGCAAGATAAGAAGTGAACATAGTATTAAAATCAACTAATTTTTCTAAAAAAAATTTGATGCATGACTCCTTTAAAGGGGCACTTTTTAAAATTACAATAAATAAGTCTTGCTCACTTCACAGTGACTATTGACCAATCCTAATTAGCCCTGCCCTCACATGCATATCCTTGAGTCAGCATATAGATTTTTCTTTTGCAACATAGAGGGATAGTCCACTTTGCATTGCACAGTACCACTCATAGTCAGGTTTGATACTCATTTCATTTTCTGCATCTCCTACCACTCTTGCATTTGCATGAGACTGGACAACATGGATTTAATATGCTAGGTAGAGTTTAGCTGGTACCCCTTTCCGAGCAGGGTGGTAAATCCAGGTCGGGGCTACTTAGATCCCTTGTGGGATTTAAGCTATAAGTCCCCTCATGATGTCAACTTCTTATGAATTCTCAATCTATCATTTCTCTTAGGATAGTAATCCGATCTTTGATCTTCTAAACTCAAAATTTTAATCATATCTTTATCCATTCAAAAAGGTCTAATCATCATTAAAGATAAATATAAAAGACTCTTTGGAATAGAACTTAGGAACTTTTTCTGTGCACCAAATTAAGAAGTGAATAATACATCGTTCTTAATCAAGAGTTTTCCTAGGTCAAGGCCTAGGATGTAATTAACTACGGTGGCTTATGCCTGTAGAAAACTGATCCCCACAATCAAATAAACCCCATTCGAGCTGACATATCGAATGGGGGAAATCTCGTGACTTTTGGGTTATATATATTATTATCCATCGAGGTTGGTAGGTGAAAGCCGCTACCCTCTATGGTTAATCGTATGTATAACTCCATCTGCTCTTCCATTGGCCTGCTTGTGTCGAGTGTAAAGGCCTACGGTCATTTTGTCCTACGGGATAGTGTGACCGTACCCTTTGCATTTTAACCCCGCAAGCAGAATCTTTTCGGAGACCCACAAATCTAAATAAATATTTCATGTGTGATGTCGCATTTTATCCCTCACATTACATCTTTTAAAAAAAAAAGGCACAGGGAGGAAGATTTGGTGTGTTAAAAAAAGGTATCATCTACCATTTAAGAAATCCAATGATCAAGAAAATATTATTTAACATTCATTATTATTTCCTCTCAGGAACCCTTTACTCCAATGAAGAAAAAAATCGAGCTTCAACACCTATGCCTTAGTCGCCCATCATTTATTGTTCTAAAATTTATGTTCCCTTCATTTAAAACCAAAAAAAAAATCACATCATAGAATTTATGAACTCTTATCCATTTTTCTTTCATTCATAATGACATTTGAGGAACATAATTTACAACAATATCTCGTGGGATTGGTGATTTGTGATCTTAACCGATGATTGCTCATAGATCTTTTTACAAAAAGCCATAAAATGATACATCATCCTTCCAACTTTTTCAACAAGACAATAATTAATTTATCGTTTAAACTAAAATAGCCAGCTCTGACAATATATAAAACTATTTAAACCATTCGCTCACATATATCCAAGAGAAATGAATAAACATGAATGGTTGACATTAAGAACAATCCCCTACTTGCTACCACAAGTATTCTTTAAAAAAAAAAAACCCCAAAATAATATTGGAGGGAGATACTTTAATAGACACCCACATCATAAATCAATTACATGCAAAAATCCTTGAGTTGAAGAGTCTTAAATAAGTCCTAAATAAAAAAATTTTCTCATTTCAATACTTCAACAACCTTATTCCCAAAAATATTTAGAGATGTTGCATTTGTTCACACATTTCCAAAATAGAAGAAAACTTAATCCCTGGGCAAATAAATGTATATCATTGGATATTCTGCCATACAAAAGAGTAAAAATATTATCATCCTCCCACGAAAAAGGTGTGTTCATTATATTACTTTCAATAAAAAAATATCACTATTTTGTTACTACTTACACTAACAAATGAGTTTTTTCTCCTATATTGCACTTATCCCTCATCCTAGCAAACAACACTATTCCAAAACCAGCTATTCCTGCTAAATCATTATACCAAAACTACTTTCTACTCAACCATTATAACTTTAATCAGAAAGAAAAGCATCTTAATCTACATATTTTCATTCAAACAAATTAATCCCTATTATGATATCTTTTCAGAGAACCATTGAACCTCCAAATAAAAGAACAAGAACTTCCAATAAACATTTCTTAGAGTAATTTTTCTCGTATAAAAATATCTCATAATCATCAATCCTTTCTTACTAACATGCATATTATTTTTATCTTTAAAACAATCTTTCAAACATGGGACCAAGCCCTTGCGCAAGCTGTGCTCACCTTCAATAGTATGGTTAACTGATCTAGTATGATTCACCAATGGGAAAGTACTTATCTTTGGAGTGGCCTTGAACTATCTCTATGCCATCCTTGTTAAATCATGGCTACTCGTTTCCATGTTCTCCATATAGGTCATGGACAGATAACTTCAATCAGGTGTAATCTATCTTATTGGCATGATTATACCTAAATGAAAAGTCTCAAAATGCTCAAACCAACCATCAAGCTTTTTAATGTCGAATGCCACATCATAGATCAACAAGTCAATCTTGAATGGTAGTCGAGCTTCAAACAAAAATTCTAACACATGAAACTTGTCATACTCCATATCCTCACCATCATCAAGATTTATGCCACCTTTAATAGTGACACCTACACCATAGTTTCTCGCATAAGTGGAATGTGGTTATTCATTGTTGCCAACCATGAACTAACGAAATACCTCTTATGGGACTTCCAATCAACTTTCAAGCCCCCCATAGCTTTTTGCTATCAATGGCACTAGATGGTTGGAGATTGCATCAACATATTGGCTTCTATTCATGTATAGCTCCACATCGTTGATACCTTGGTAATTGATTTCATCATTTTCTTATAAAAGCAAAATTAGTTAATCTAATAACAAAAAAGATGATCAAATATTCAAGGAATCAATATACTAGAGTTAGGTAAATAATCAAAGAGTAGGGGACGTAAGGTTGTAAGGGAGTGTATGAAAAATTGGATGAGATCCCTCTCCATTGCTCCACAACTACTAGGCTATCTATCATAACAATCATAATTTCCAATCCAGACATTAAAATTATTGTTTCATGGTAAATTTTAATCAATTGAAACAGTTTAAAATGAATTTTGATTGCTTGGAGACCCCAATAAACATGAAAACTCTTCATCTATGGAGAAAACCAATAAAGAGAGTAGCAGAGGAGTCTACTAGGGTGACAATATTTGACACGATCCAAAAACACGACCCGACAATTTCGAGTCTGTGTCAACTCGTTTGAAAATTGGGTCGGGCTCGGGTTTTATATTTTGACCCAATTGTATTTTCAGGATGGGTTCGGGTCAACCTGAAAACCCGAAATTGACCTAGGTCAACGCAAAAACACGCTGGTCCCATCATCCTGTTGTCCTTCGTGCTCATTTGTCATCCCGTCGTCTGTGGTCGCGCAGCGCACTAGCTCATCAAGCTCACCCACACGAGCATCGTGCCCACTCGCTTGGCATTGTGCCCGCTCACACTCGGGCCAGCGGGTTTGGTCGTGTTGATCACGTTGGGGTCGAGTCAGGTGCAGGTCCAAACTTCTAACTTATTTACCTAATTGATTCGGGTTCAGGTTAAAATAGTTAAAGCCATGTTAATTCCGGATTGAACCCGAAACCGACCCGAAAACCCATTTTGACACCCCTGGAGTCTATCAGTTGTTCTTTACAGGCTAAAATCAACCAAAAGAGTGGCAGCACGAGTATGGAATTTGAAATTTTGAGAACTCCAAATCTCAGATTCTATTTTTCATTGCTTCAATAGCATCTTTATAATATATGAGAATTCAAATCACTAAATAATTACTAAATAAAAAATAAAATATCCTTAAATAACCTATGCTAGAATGTAGGTAGCTATTTCATAATTTCAAGGAAATACTTATTCAAAAACCTAAATCTAGGAATAGATAGTAATATAGATTTCAAGCGGGAAAAAAAAAATCCTATCTAACCATGATGGACTCAACGGACTTGCTTCTAGGACCAACCCACATCCTCCCAAGATATCAGCCTTTGACTCATAATAGCCAGTAGACCTTCGTAATCTCATAAACCTAATATCCAACTATCTTCATAAAGATTCACCTCTATTGTTCACCTGCTTAATCCTATAGACTGAGTGAACAGGTGCAATCATAAAGGTCTGCTTGGCTCAATGCCCTTCTCCATTCATCAACATAGTAATAATTCAATGAAGTGCTAACGCCATGTGTAAGAATTTTGTCTCACCTTCTTTCTATCATAATTTGCCTTAATTTTAACCACCCCATTGACCAAGATTTGGCACAAAGATTGTAATATTACATTGAACAACTTCCCACCTCTAACACATCCTAAAGTATTTCGGTAAAATCATCATCATCATAAATGAAAACACATTTGAATTCAACATAGAAATTTTCGGATTGTGGCAACAAATAGGGGGTAAGGTGAACCAAAAAAATTGATGCTAAGCTCAACTCACAAATGGTTCAATTTCAACAAGAAAAAAATGAACTCAAGCCATATAATGAGAGGATTCCTTTTCTTTCAAATAATAAGCAAAATAAAATGACATTTTGTAATTATGTTATTGGGTAGAATGTACAAATTATGTCCTCACCACATCCATTTTGTGTTAGATTGAAACTTAACCAATACAACTCAACTACTTCTCATACACCTCGAGTCGAGTTTCAGTTTCATCAAATGAGATCAAGTTGAAATTCCACCCAATTTGATAAAAATGCTATATTTGGGTTATCTCAATATTAGTTGCAGTCATTTTCAGGTCAAACCTAAGAACAACAACATCAAGCCTTTATCCCACTATAAGAGGTCAGCTACATGAATCCTTTTTCTCCATTGTGCCTATTAAGAGTAAAATTCTCATTTAAATCTAATAAAAAAAATGTCATTTCTAATATTTTCTAACCAAGTCTTTTTAGGTCTACCTCTACTTTTTTTAACATAAGTCAAATCTATACATCTACTTTCCTAACCGGGTCATCAAAAGGCCACCGTTTTATGTGACCAAACCATCTAAACGACTCTCTCTAATCTTATCTTCCACTGGAGCTACTCCAATCTTTTCACGTATATGCTCATTTGGTATCATGTCTCTAAGAGTAAAGCCACTCATCCACCTTAGCATCCTCATCTCTCCAATATTTAACTTTATATTATGTTTCTCTTTTAATGGCCAACATTATACACCATAAAACATTACAGATCTAACCACCATCTTATAGAATTTTTCCTTAAGTTTGAGAGGGACTTTTTTATCACACAAGCCTGATACATTCCTCCACTTCAACCATCCAACATGAATTCTACAAATAATATCCTCATCTATTTAACCATCACTCTGAACAATACACCCAAGATAATGAAAATGTGTACTATTATTAATGACTTGATAACCCAAAGTCACAATCACCCACTAGATCTATTATTACTAAAATTACACTCCATATATTCAGTTTTAGATATACTCAAACGAAAGCCTTTAGACTCTAAGGTTGACCTCCATAATTCAAGTTTACCTTCAACCCCCTCTCTAGTATTATCAACAAGAAGAATGTCATCAGCCAAAAGCATACACCAAGGTCCAACCTCTTGCAAATGTCTAGTGAGAACATCCATGACTAAAGCAAAAAGATATGGGCTTAAGGCTAGTCCTTTAGGTCAAGCCTAAGCCCAAATGGTTAAAATGGAATAACACATTTAGTAAAATTTATCCCAATTATTTTGAGTGAGCATTAAGAATCTTCACCTCCATGCTCCTCGAGTGCTACTTAAGATATTAAATTTATTTGCTTGTATCTCAATTCAATAAATGTTTTACTAAACCTAAGCCCCTAATCTTCTAAATATTTCAGGACTTCTTCCAACTTTTCATTAATATCAACAAATGGCTCACCAGTTAGAATTATGCAGATCATGATATCTTACTTTTAATATCCTTAAGAAGCATCTACATTACTAAAAAAAATGCACACTTGATTTTGATAAATTTTGATAATTATATGTAAAAATATTTTGATTGAGAACTCCTTAATCATTCCACTACTACGTATAATGCTAATCAATATTCTATCATATACATTCTTAATAATTTGAACATTCCTCTAACTTTTTATTGTTAAGGCTTGCCAAATTACCTTTTTTATGATGCTTGATCATATGCCTTTTCAAGATCAATTAAAACCAAATGTATGAATTTTTTGCACTATATATTTATATATTAATTTTGTATGTAGGAAAATCGCATCCACCATGAATCTTTATAGCATAAATCTAAATTGATTCTCCAATCCAAATAACAAGTCCTAATTATGTTTTTGGGTTGGTGTGTACAAATTGTGTCATCGTGTTTATTTTTTTATTAAGGTTGAAACTAGCATAACATGAAACAACTACTTCTATCACATCAAGTCGAGTTTCAACTTTATTGAGTCAAATTCAGGTTGAAATTTCCAAATTATTTAACAAAAAGGCCATATTTTGATTATCTCGATATAGGTTGCAGTCACTTTCAAACTCTTAGAATAGATAAATACATGTACTCAACTTTATCCTAAATATTTTGAGTCAGCTTTAAGAGTCGTCATATTCCATTATTTTGCATAAGTTCTATCCATGTTAACTTTGGTATATCTATCTTCCAGCCTAATAATATCATATTAATTGAAATACCTATCATGTTGGTGCCTCTTCTACCCACTATTAGGCATGTCTAAATTACCTATATTTATTTTTAGTTATCTTCTCTTTAATATGTGGTACTCCTATAATTGCACCCAAATAATATTATCTTTATTTATCCTAGTTTTACGTTACACCCTAAGATTCACATTTTTGTCAAACTCAACTTGATTATTAGTGACTTCATTACGACCAAAAAATTTGATCCATATAGTATAGTTCATTTTTTATTCCAGTTTTAAAAAATTTTCCTTTTCATGATATTCTCCTATCACATAATACACCCAATGTGTATCAACAATTAAACAAACATGAAGAAGCTATACCCCATCTATATTCTCATCTTGTTAGATGATAGATTAAAAATAAAATCTATCACACATAAATATCACAATCTTCTAGCAATATTAACCAAAAATTATCAATTTCATAGCAGCCCAAATTGCACATCAAGTCGAGCTTTATTCTGCTAATCCTAAGCCCTAAATCCTCAAATCATTCCCTGTATTATTCCAAATTTTCACTTATATCAAATGAGAACTCGACGATTAGAGCTATCATCTACAAATAATATATGCAATGATGCCTTAATTTGAATATCCTTATGAAACATCTCCATAACTAATATAAGAAAATAAAAACTTAATTTTTATTGCTATGTAAAACTATTGTGATTAGGAACTTCTTAGTCACTCCACCACTGTTTCTAATGCTAATCAATATTATGTCATACAAATTTTTAATAACTTAAACATTCCTTTAATACACTCTTTTTTTAAGGCTCACTAAATCAAATCTTGTGATTCTTGTTAGCGATATGGCTTCCCAAGATCAATAAAAAAAATTCATATTTTTCTCTCTATGTTTATCCCATTAATTTCCCAAACATAAAGATTGCATCTTCTTTCCAGCATAAATCCTAATTAATTCTCCAATCCTAACATAATTTTTCTAAAACTATGTTACATTATCATCTCTCATATAATTCTGATGAATTAAAATTAAAAACGGAATATAACAAATAGAAACAAGAATATAAATTAGCTAAAAACAAGTTGCCTAGCTGATTTTCTGATTTTTTTGCCATAACAAAAACAAAATTTAGGAGGCATTTCTAAGTCTGATGCATGTATCCAAAATACGAAGATATAGTTGAAGGCCAAAAAACAAAACAAAGTGATGGGAAAGAAAGGGGGAAAAAATACCAGCACTATCAAAAGTGATAAATCCAATACCACGGTGCCCTTTAGAACCTTGATCCTGCAGATAATGAAGATAATGATCATCATATGGCATTCTAGTGTGAACTTGTCATTACCATTTAAGTAGGCTTTCCCCAACAGTAGCATTGCAAATCAGAAAATGATGGTCAAATAATTACCAATAAAATAAATTTTAAAAAAAATTACACACAAATGGGGCCTAGAAAACCTTATAAGCAGGTCACCAAATGAAGCAAGAAAAAATCATCGAGGATAAAGAAAAAGAGTGGAATTCAATAAATATGGTGGCGATGATATCACGACAGACAACGAACAAGTATGTTTGCACGACTTGAAAACTCATAAGGCTTCAAAGAATATCCGGAGCCTTATCCTAGTTGCAGTATCCAAGTACACTTCAAACAAGATTCCCATCATATGAAATACCATGTATGGATATGGTTCTCACGTCCTTCGAAAAATTATATTCAATAAAAACAACAAAATTTGCCAGACATGTATATCAAATAAAAAAAAATCATCATATAACGATTAAATGACGCCTAACTATCAACCTTTTCACCACCAACCTGTCCTCCAAATATCTAGGCTTACCTAGGTTAATTATTCAACGCTAGCAAGACATGCATGTCGCTGAACAATAAGTTATGGTAATGTCTAATAAGGCATCATTTCTGAGGATGAACGTAGCCCAAGTCAAAAATCATGGCTATGCCCAAATTTAAGTTGAACCAAAACAGTTCATGACATTAAATTGTATTTCTTTTATAAGTTAGTTTATTTTAGTTAGGTAGATAATATCCTGTCAGATAATTTTGGGGGCATATTTCCTTTAATTGTTAGGATTAGATTTCAATTTTGACAAGATTAATTCTGAATTTAATTTGTATCCCTATTTATATATATATAGCGAGTAAAATGGATGTATTTTTATTATGATGCATTGAATTAAAAACTACTCAAAATTTTCTTCTTTCTTTCCCCTCACTCATCAGCCAGCAATTTCCAACCTTCTCTCTCCCGCCTCCCCTAACTCTCTAACATGATTGATTATCGACTCCTTTTTTCTTGTACTGATCACATCACCTCTATAGCAAAACAAAATTTTTGTCCCTACCAAGTATCCAACATCGCTTATTAGTATTGAACTTTAAAATGAAGAGGCGGAATATAAAAAATAAAGTAAACCGTTGTTCTAGGATTAGATGGAGGCATTTAAAGAATATTAATAAAAATATTTTTATGAGTAAGATTCTAGATTTTAAGATTTTGTCAAATACATGAAAAAACTAATGTTATGTGGGAAAACGTAGCTAGTGATATTAAGAATGTTGCAAAGGATGGGTTGGAGTATCAAAGGGAAAAGCTCGTTATAGTAAAAACAGTTGGTGGTGGAATCAAATGTGCAAGAAAATATAAAATAAGAAACTTCGTTATAAAAATTGGTTTATATAAAAAAACTTTGATAATTGGGAAAGATACAAAGATGTTTGTAAGAAGTCTAAAAAAACAATATACGATGCAAAGACTTTAGCTTTTAATGATTTATATAATAGATTAGATATAAACGAGGTGAAAGATAGATGTATAAGTTAGCCAAATGAAGAGATGAGAGTAGTAAAAATTTAGTTCAAATGAAGTGCATTAAGGATGAAGATCAAAAAGTACTTTTATTAGAAGAAGATATTCAACAAAAATGGATAAAATATTTTGTTAAGCATTTTAATAAAGATTGTGAGAATATGATTGACTTTAGTGACCTAAATGAAAAAAAAAATTATTTTTATCGACAAATTAGTAATACTGAAGTTAGAGAGTCTATAAAAAAAAGGAAATGTGGAAAAGCTATTAGACTTGATAATATTCAAATAGAGGTATGAAAATGCAAAGCAGATGAAGGAATTTCTCAACTTACTAAATGTTTTAATATTCTTTTGAAGATCAAAAAGATGTCAGATGAGCGAAGAATGAGTGTGTTGATTCCCATTTTTAAGAATAAAGGCGATGTACAAGATTGTGCAAATTATAGAGGAATTAGGTTAATTTGTCATGCTTTAAAACTATAGGAGAAAGTTATTGAGCATAGGTTACGACGTGATACTAATGCTTCTCAAAATCAATTTGGATTCATGTCAGGTATGTCTAATATGGAAGTTATAAATTTATTGAGAGGTTTGATGGAGAAATATAGAGAGAATAAGGAGGACCAATATGTGATATTAATTGATTTAGAGAAAGCATATGATAAAGTTCCAAGAGAAGTGTTATGGAGAGTTCTAGAAAAGAAAGGGATTAATAATGTTTATTCAAGTCATTAAGGATATGTATATAGGAGTTGTTACTTGTGTTCAAACACAAGGTGATTTGACTATGTAATTTCCTATTCCAATTGGATTACATCAAGGATCAACCTTGAGTTCTTATCTTTTTGCTTTAATCATGGATGTTCTCACTAGACATTTGCAAGAGGTCGTACCCTGGTATAAGCTTTTTGTTGATGATATTTTTCTTCTTGATAAGAATAGAGAGGGAGTTGAAAGTAAACTTTAATTATGGAGGTGAACCTTAGAGTCTAAAGATTTTCATTTTAGTAGATCTAAATCCGAATGTATAGAGTGTAATTTTAGTAATAATAGATCTAGTGAGAGAATTGTGACTTTGGGCGATCAAGTCATTAATAAGAGTATATGTTTAGATATATTGGGTCTATTGTTCATAGTGATGGTGAAATAGATGGAGATATTATTTGTAGAATTCAAGTTGGCTGGTTGAAGTGGAGGAATGCATCGGGCTTGTTGTGTGATAGAAAAGTCTCCCTCAAACTCAAGGGAAAATTCTATAAGATGTTAATGAGACCTGCAATGCTTTATGGTTTAGAATGTTGGCCATTAAAAGAGAAGCGCAATATTAAGTTAAATGTTGCAGAGATGATGATGCTCAGGTGGATGAGTGGTTTTACTATTGGAGACAATATATGAAACGAGCATATACGTGGAAAGGTTGGAGTAGCTCCAGTAGAAGATATAATTAGAAAGAGTCGCCTTATATGGTTTGGTCACATAAAATGGCGGCCTTCAGATGACCTGATTAAGAGAGTAGATGTATTAGATTTAGTTTATGTTAAGAAAGGTAGAGGTAGACCTAAAATGACTTGGTTAGAAAATATTAGAAATGTCCTTTTTTTATTAGATTTAAGTGAGAATTTGACTCTTAATAGAAAATAATGAAAAAAAATATTCATGTAGCTAATCCCTTGTTGTTGTTGTTGTTGTTGTTGTAGAATATAGTAAAACATATGAACATTGGCATGATGGCATCATAACATTGAATTATACACTTTTTAATACAGCACTCATTATATAACTAGACCTCATGTGTATTATCACTTCTAATTGCAACTATGAATTTGGCTTGAAAAAGAATTTCAATCAAAAATTGGATCTAGTTTTAGCTCGGATTGAACTCAAATTGAAGTCATCGATCCAATTTATAAGCTAAGCCTGGCTCGAATCAAACTTGACTTGACTTGAGCCTAGATTATATAAAGTAAGCTTAGCTTGAATCAAAATGCATAAGGTATTACATTGTGACTCTAGGGTTTTTTTTTTGTGTCCTGGACCATGAAACACGAACATGACAGAAACATGGGATATGAAATACTTATAAACAGTAAAACACAAAACACCCTGAACACTTATTTTATGAAATGCATAATCAATACATCTAATGCAAATATTTTCTATTTAAAAACTTACTGCAATAATTTATAATATCACATGAATCATATAGAAAGCTTAAGTCTCACCAAAATAAGATTATAATTATATTTCAATATTTATCAACTGTACTTATCCCCATTTACACACCGACAATAACACTAATCATTAGATATTATTTTAACCTTATGTTGTAACACAAAATACAAAAACCCCAAAAAAAGAGTGTACAACCTTCAAAATAACTAGCATTGTATTGTCTAATTGAATCTAATAAACTCAACACCGAAGCAATCCAACCTGAGCCACAAATTTACTAAACCAAAATAGCTTACACATGTTGCATTGCATTTCTTGGTCATCTTGGGTCAAGTCTTGTCCATATACAACTTCAAGTTTTGAATGAAAACATCATACATGATTTTCAATATATCAGGCATGTGACAAAGCATGTAATGTCAGGCATCTATACAACAGGAACACGAAAGACTTTTTGAAGTGCCAATGCCTCGTAAGTCACAGGGGCAATGATGATCAAGAATCATAGCTGGAGACAAGTCTAGATTAAACTAGATTAATTCATGAAATTAAATTGTATTTCTTTTATTAGTTTATTTTATTTTATTTAGGTAGACATTATCTTTTTGTACCATATTGGGTTTAAATTTTAATTAATTATTAGGACTTATTTTCTAATTTTGAAAATATTAGTTTTGAATATGAATTGTAACCCTCTTTCAGTAATAGGGTACAAAATATGCAGCATACCAAATAGCTGAATTTTCAAAACACATGCATTTGATTTACACTACACTAGTAATGCAACAAACCAAATAATCCCTTAATCAAGATCAAATTCCAAAGATGAACGCATGCATCCCTATCACTCCTAAACTAATGCACATTAATTAATTATTACAGACTTATGGACCATCTACACTTATTTAATTTTAAATTCCTATAATATAAGCCACTATAATACCATCTCCAAAACAATCACCTAAGCACAAACCAGTTAACACTCATAACATAACTAATACCTTTTTAAACAATTTTATTTACCACTCTAACTATGACATGTAATAGAATCGTGTAGCCAACATACCAAGTGCAATACTATTGATCACTAACCACCTCCAGACCCGCCCAAACCCAACTTCCCTTTGGTCGCACGAACCCAGTCGATCACGCACATTTTGCCCAAACGACACAACTATTCGCTCAACCGACACAACCGCTCTCTCATTTCCTCAAAATACACGCATGAGCGCTTGGGAGGATTCATTCGGTTCATTCGCATGCAAGCCCGCTCCTTCTTATCTTCCTCAGCCACACACGAGATCCCCAAACCGCTGGAGCCTTCACGCTTGCCCGACTCCGCTCATCTCCAGTTCGCGCAAGTGCTTGCTCCCTCTTGCTCGATCATCATGCACGCAACAGACCCGCACAAGCCCACCTTGTCAACCCGTTTACCCATAGCTATCAACCAGCACGGCCACGTGAACATGACCCACTTTCGTGCTCTCCGTCTGTTTCGGTGACCGTCTCAATTTGGTGTCGTGCACAGCCTACTCTCCCCGTCTTCGTATGATCTAGCCTGACCCAGCCTGATGTCCATTCTATCATCAATTCGTTTCCTATTCCATAAGTGACCAACAAGTTTGCAAGAGAGAGGAAACAACTATCGCAAGCAATTGAAGATCCGAAGATTTGTACCGGGACCAATTGTCCCAAAGCTCTTGGTCGTCGAATCTTTAATCCGGTCGGGAGGATTTGAAAGGCAATTGCCTTTCCAACCTCCCTTCGCTGGGAGGGGATGCCGGGAGGCTGCTAAATTTTCAAGGAAAATAAAAAATAGCATTTTTCAATTAAATCATATTTAATTAACAGGTACCGCGAGCAAATTGAAGACTTGAAGACCTATGCCGGTATCAATCGTCCCAAAGCCCTCGATCGACGAATCTTTATAATTCGATCGAGCATATTTGAAAGGCAAGTGCCTCCCAACCTCCCTTCGTGGGAAGGAGAAACCGGGAGGCAACCGAAATTTAGAACAAAACAAATGATCCTCTCATAATTAATTTCAAACAAAATTTATAATTTAAAATGATTATATATATATAACTAATTAATTGTATCATTCCAATAATTAAAAAGGGTCCACACCACCAAAAATTGCTTGTCATGTAGTCAGACTATATATTCTAAGAAGCATATTTGGTTTCATAACTCATAAAACTATTCTATGAAGATGAAACATGAATATGGAAATCCAATTAAAGTAATCAGGTGTACGATGCAGCTATTATGAACACTAGTCCATAATAAGTCAAATAGACAAAACTTAGTGTATTTAGATAATTCAATAAAAATGCATTAGTTTAACATGAGAAAGATGCAGATTAAGTATCATTTATACATATCACAAAAGATGCATCAAGAAAACCACAAAAGAAGCCTAATTTACATAGTTAAAGCCATATATATCAAAGGATGACATTTGAAAAGGCTCATATCATTAATATTTTATCATGAACATTAGACAATTTAGAGAATCTATAAAGTTCAATCAAACTAGATCTATTTTTGTGTGGATGTGTTTTAAGGATAAATAATCCAATTTGCAGTCAGCAATGCCATGAGAAGATTTACTCATTAATAAAAACATAAAGAGGATTGTCTCATGCAGGAGATTCCAATCAATTGAAACTTACAAAATAAGTGTGGGGAAAAATGTATTACAACCCAGGCCATTAAGCAAATAAAAGTGCACCCAATAATGACTTATAAGGTAGTTGTCTATGACAAGCAAATCAAAAAATAACATTAAATCAATCCAAATCTGGCAGTGCAGGTTGTTTCAATGGCAAAGGGCTCATCCTGTTTCTAGAATTGAAGAAAATTAACAATTTGTTATAACTTCAATGCAAGACTCATGAAAAATTTTGAAATATACAACCTTGAGGTAGCATAAGACCAACGCATATAGGTTCCATGCATCCCTTAGCCAAACTGGAATCATGCCTATATGGTCTTTGCTTGAGAACATCCATCTCCTCCTGTCTTAGAAATGTATGACTAGAGTTTGATTCTTCAAGAAATTTGAGAAACAAATCTCTATTTGAACTAAGAACCTCAAGAGCATCTTTCGACTCTTTGATTGGATTAGCCTTTTATTAGTAGCTAGCCTTTTTTTATGATGAATTTTTGATGCACAAGAGACATTCTATTGTCCATCAGATTTGCATGACATTTTTTCATGTTGTAGATAATTCTTTACTTGACCATTTGATGAAAGATGTTGCTTTACTCACAACCTTGCACTTCTCATGCATGCAACATTCAATCCTGTAGTGCATCTGATGATTACAAGAACTTTCTTCTGACAACCAATAGCCTTGGAAGATCTATTCAAACAGTCATGTCAATACCAAGAGATGTCTCCTTCGACTCAAATGCACTAAACCACTCCAGTGCTATTAGCATCTTAATAGGAGCATCACTTGGCTTCTTTCCAACACACTTCCATGATTGTTACCCATCATCAAATTAATCATCGAATACAAATAAAGCCTTTTAGATGACATTTCACAATTTTGAACAAAGATTAATGTGCAACTAACTGAGAACGAATTAAATAAATTACTTTCTTTACGAAATATCGCTGCTTCCGCATATGCTCTGATCTTTATGTCAAGCTCATAAATGCAAGATATGAGAATGCTTCACGGATTCGTTAGAAAAATCCCGACTATAGGTCCAAACTATACACTAAATAAGCTCCGGTCTCTACGTCAAGCTCCTAAATGCAAAATATGAGAATGCTTCGCAGAATTGTTAAAAATACTGAAATATCCTTATGATGGCCGTGTTGAAAGAAAATCTCAACCATAGGAGATCCCAAACTTTCAAAATGCCTTCCAAACTCTTACAAAATACATATACATTTTCAAATGAAAACTAAATCACCCCGATGATGGTCGTGTTGAAAGTTAATCTTAACCGGAGGGAATTATACTTTTTAAATGGTTTCAAATTCATACAAAATACATATATTTTCAAATAACCATGTCACCCTGATGATGGTCATGTTAATATAAAATCTCAACCGGATGTGACCTTGGCTTTCAAAATATCCATGAACCTTAATGAAAATACAAATATTTAAAAAGAAATGGTTGTATTCAACGTAAATCTCAACCGGAGGGGTTCACAAAAATTTTAAAGAAATGCCCTCAAAACTCTAAAATCATACAATCAAAACCTAAACTTAAATCCTACTAAAAATCTAAATCCTCGAAATAAAATCTATCATCAAAAACTTAAAATCAAAATCCATTCACACTTCGCAATAAATTTGGCAAGGATAATGAATTGAAGAATAACTTCAGCTCACAAAGAGCATATATTTTAGTGAATGCATTACTAAAATTCAATCTCAAATGATTTATCGTTAGTATGGAAGTGGAACGTGCCCTCTGATCGGCTATATTTGTCGTAAAATGACACTATCATATCACGGTCACGGCCAAAGTCCATACGTTCCCTAATGGTTAAAAGCCCTTGATTAATGAATTATAGGGTGTGCTTAATAAGATATAAAGCACTCTGTTAGCTATGATTGACTTAAACTCATCACCTTAGACAAACATCCACCCCAGATTTACAAGATATCCTTAGACTAAGCAACTCATGGTTGCCGACAAGCTTCCTTCTCTCAGGTTGGGTCAACTACTTCCACTGACTAAGTTGACCAAGGATCATGACAACACAGGATAATGAAACAATGAGATTTAGATCGGGCTCGTCATCATTCCTCCATCATTGTATTAAGTTTATGGTGATGAATTTCAAATTAAGAACTCTAAAATTCAAGCCCTGAAATTGTCGTTACGATACGCTCGGTAATTATTATGACTAGCCATAATCAAAAGTTCTCTCGCCAATGGGAAGCGTAATTAACCATAAGGGCTTGCACCTATGGGAAACTAGAACTCAAATCATAAAGTCCTTGCAAAATGAGGGCGAAAACTCCGGATAGTGTCTTATTTTGAAAACTCAATCTGCCTTTTGAAAATCTACTCCGAAACATAAAATCGTTAAAACATTCCCCGTCAATAAAAGAAGGCGCGGAGAGGCCAAGGAACGAATTTTCGGAGCCCACAAATACATCCCAAAACCTTAGTCTTCATCCGTGAATCAACTCTTTTATGTTTTATTTTAATGGTTAAATGCAAAATATAAAGATGCTTTATGTTGAGTCATTAAGAAACAGTGCAAAAAAAGATAGGAAGCAATTTCAAAATTGAGATAGAACTTTCTCTAAGTCTCACTGCTCCTGAGATCACATTCTGTGTTTATGTTCTTTTGTCATCTCCAGGGTTGTTTTGCGAGGTTTGAAAGAACGCCCTTATTGCTGCTGATCAAAATTTCAAAAACTGAGGAGAGAGCTTCAAAATCAGTCGATGCATTATAGCATGCAAAAGAAAAATCAAACTTAACCTATCCATAGTACTTCCCTTCCTCTTCCCTATTAGCTGAATCTGAGTATCTTTCTCAAGGACTCCTAAATCTTTTCTAATACAAAACATGCTATCATAGTAAGAATTAAAATGTGCAAACTCCTACATCTCGGCATTACATTTAAGTAACACTTGAGCTGTGTAAATATCACTCACTGCACCAAACAATTAAGAATGGATGAGTATGCGAGAAATATAGTTCTGACAGCTTCAGCTCTGTTGGAACCAACCTTTTTAACAAGATTTAAGTATAACAAGCCCTAACTGCCAGGACTCCATACCACTACATTTCAATGCATCAGAACTCAGATAGCAACAGGAACAATACAAAATAAAAATTGTAAATGAATAAAAGGCAACCATCAATTGTATAAATAATCCAACAACCTGTCTCACCTTTGGCATATACAAGTCTGTTATCTCTCCATATGTTTCAAAATAACTGCAAAATTTCCCATAAACAAATGTTATTTTTTCTTGTATTTCAACAGTTCAGACACAAGCAGCCATCAGCCATAAAAACTCAATAGGGAAGTTTACCTACGGAATCAATCAAAAAGCTGAATAGGGAAGTTTACCTTCGGAACATTGATTCTGTGACTGAGTGGGGGATTCTGGCCACAAAAATCCGAGTAGTATTCTTTGCAGGCGCCCTCATTTCTTCCTATAAAGTGAACTTATTATGGTCAGAAGCTAATTTAGAGGTATTTAAAAATCAATTTAGTCGGGAAGCAATAAACCACGACACTTCCCTAAGATGAAAAATCTCTAAAAGAAAAAGCACACTCATTCACCTTTGGAGTTGCAACCTTTACTTCAAGAGTTCTGTTCCCAAGGACATGCTCACTTTCAAGTGCATTCTGCAAAAGAGAATCGTATGCTCATCAAATTTGGACCCATTAGATCCAGTATTGAAGGAGTATTATTAAAGTTAATCAGACAATAAAAAAATAATGAACAGAAACTTTAAGCTAATAACAAAATATAGGAAAAGCAGCTCATGAGTAGTAAATACATTTTCTTTTGAATCAAACAATAAATATGCTGCCAGGAAAAATAATATTGTTCAGAAAAAAACAAATGATCTATTTAACCACATATCCTCGTATTCCTTAAACAACCTCTATCAATATAGTCATCACAACCATACAAAATGATAGAGTGAACTCCTCGACAAATCTACTTCAGTAAAGTGATCACAGAAATAGAATAAGATAGTGAAAGAAAAGGCCAAATCGCAAAATGATTTGCTCATTTAATATAATAGGCTGACACAATTGGTTCTTGGAGAAGGTTTGCTACGAAGATAAATCATTATTAGCTGTAGCAAAACCGTCGCCAACAGGCTGCAACCACTAAGAAAATGAATCTCCTTGTACTGCTCACTCAAATTGAACTAGCATCATAGTTCTTACTCCTACTTTGGCTGGATCTTATTTGACAATCTCAACCTATAAGGATATATACCATCGCCTATCCTAAATTAAAAAGCATATATCTTTATCCCGGAGCAAACTTCAAAAGTTTGCTTGTGGAATAAGGGCTGTGATAGACCCGTGTTCTGAAAGGATGAAGTAACAAGATTACTTATACTCATATGTAATGCAACAATCTCCATAAAACAGGGTTCAATAACTAAGGTAGCTGACATATGGCATACTACAGTCGCCACAATACAAATTTTATATTTTGAATTCAAATCTACACATTAAGATATTCATCTTATAACAACTTTTGATGACCTTAAAACTTGGAACTTCTAGCCTTATAATAATCAGATAACATATTGCTTATGTTACATGCCAACAAAATTCATTACACGATATAGTTTGAATTTTAAACACACCATATCATGTGCTAATTGAAATGATTAAATGAAATGTTTTGAATTTGTTACTTGCTTAGTATATGATATGTTTCAACAATATTTATTGACCTGCTAGTCCCACACTGCGGCTGTTGACAAGCAAGGAATAGTGCATTTAAAAAAAATAAAATAAAACACCATAAAATTAAGTTTACAATATGCTAATATTTTGCTAGCTATTAATGGAAAAATTAAAATAGCAATACTTAAGTATAATAAAAAATTAAATCCAAGTCGTATCTTATAATGAATATTTTTTACACAACGCATATTATAATGAAAATTCAAATTTAAATCATATCATTTAATAAACCCTTTTAACACAGTACATAATAATAACAGATTCAAATTATATTGTTTAATGAATATTGTGACATTTGACTTTTTTATATCATAATTTTAATATTTTTTAATAATAGCTTAAAAGTTTAATACTATAAAGAATCAATAAATATTAAAGATAATCAATACCATTATCTTATAAATTAAATTTCAGATCATTAGTTATCAATAATATATCATCACTTGAATGCAATGGCTTGAGACCAGTATAGGATGAAATAAAATGATTTAGGTGAAATTGTTTAGTTTCAACAAGCATCACAAGGAATGTCCTACCAAAATTAAACGGTTAAATTTCAAAATAATCCCCCGACTATTTTTATATGGTCATTTTAGTCTCAGAGTATAACGCTGCTCTAATTTAGTTCTTTGGCTATATAAAATTGATTCAAAATAATCCATTTGGGAATAATTGGTATCAATTTTGTAAAGTTGAGGGACTATTTTGGGATCAATTTTATATCATAATTACAACATGAGGGACTATTTTGGATCAATTTTGTATAGTTGAGAGACTAAATTGAGGCAATGTGCTACTATGGGACTAAATTGTCATACAAGAATAATTTGGGAACTATTTTGAGATTTTTTTTAAATCAAACCATATCTCAAAAGAAAAAGAAAAAATAACTTAAACCGAAGAGGTTTACCAATTCATAGTGTGTTTTAGTTAAAATGCAATCAAATCTAGTCTTTAACCCTAGTGCAAATTAAACACGCATTACCTACCAACAAACTAATATGCATCAAAGCCATTACAACTGAAACATGTTACCTAGCAAGAATTCTTTTTTAAGCGTTCAACAACGAGTAAATCTTACTGCCATAGCAAACCTTCTGTCAAGATATTCTACCTGAATTGAAATAGTACAAAACTGTTTTGTATATATAGAGCATTTTGCAATGCAAGTAGTTTTTTTTTTTTTTTTTTTTTTTTTGCTTTCTAATGTCTTTAATTTCATTCTTACGACTTTGTAAGTAGACAACAAGTATTGCAAGAGCAAATAATTTTTTATAGATGTCACTATATTACTATCATCACCTGCCATATGGCCCTTGCTTCAAAATAAACAAAGACATCAAACAAATTTAAATATATAATTTTATAAAGCGGAAAGAAAGGGACTCCAACTAATTGTTTAAAGAAAAAAATGAAATCCACATTTGACAGCTTAAGATGGCTGTACAGTTTTAGTTCAAAGTGTGTTTCACTTTAAAATGCAACCAAACCTAGCCTTTATCCCTAGTGCTTCCATATTAAAACATGTTCAAATTAAACATGCATTTCCTATCAACAGACTAATTTGCATCAAAGCCATTATAGCTTAAACATGTCACCTAGTGAGGATCCTTTTTTAAACACCCAACGAGTAAATCATACATCCATAACAAACCTTATATCAAGATATTCTACCTTAATTCAAATAGTACAAAACTGCTTTGTATATATACAGCATTTGCAATGCAAGTAGGTAATCATTGTTTTTTTTTTTTTTTCTTTTTGATTTCATAAAGAGCATTCTTACTACTTCGTAAGCACACAACAAGTATTGCAAGAGAACAGTTTTTTTTATAAATGTCACTGTATTACCATATCATCACCAGCCTTATGGCCTTTGCTTCAAAATAAACAAGGATATCAAACTTCTTTAAACAGATAATTTTATAAAGTGGAAAGAAAAGGGGCATCAACTAATTGCTGAAAAAAAATCCCCAATTGACAGCTTAAGAAGCATGTATAATTCAAATTCAATATAGAGCTTACATATTAAAACCTGCTCAAATTAAACATGCATTACCTACCAACAGACTAACTTGCATCAAAGCCATTGTAGCTGAAACATGTTACCTGGAGAGGATCCTTTTTTAAACATACAACCACGAGTAAATCTTACATCCATATCAAACCTTCTGTCAAGATATTCTACCTGAATTCAATTAGCACAAAATTGCTTTGTATATATAGAGCCTTTTGCAATGCAAGGTAATCTTTTTTTTTTCTTTCTTTCAGCTTGAGCTTACTACTTTGTCAGCACACAAGTATTGCAAGAGCACATAATTTTTTTATACATATTACTATCAATACCAGCGTTTTGGCCCGTGCTTCAAAATAAACGAGGATATTAAACAACTTTAAATAGATATTTTATAAAGCGGAAAGAAAAAGGACTTTGCCTAATTGCTGAAAAAAAAAAAAAACTCCACAATTGACAGCTTAAGAATGCAGTACAACTCGAATTCAAAGTTTGTTATACTTGGAACAGAGTTTTCCTTTAAACTTTGAAAAAACAGCAAATACTAGGAAAAAGTTAAGATCACTGACGAATTCAAATATATAACCATATTAGAGCAAATTCATTAGTAGGCATATATTAAAGAAAATACGATAGAAGCATAATCACCTCTGCATCATCTGCAGAAGCAAATGTTACATAACCAAAACCGCGGGATCGGCCAGTTGATCTTTCCTGTTTCACAGAGTAAAGTGATGTAAAGTAAATACAGATGTTTCCAACCAATAGAAAGATTTCATGTGAAAAAACAAAAGATAGAAGGAATAATCATGGAAGAACTTTTCCAAAACAAATGAGTGGAAAAGAATCAAAAATCAGCCAGGTAAAAGAAAAGTTTAGTACAAACATTCTTAAGTATGAAGAAGTCTTCCTTAAGAAATTCAAATTTAGGAAAGTCGAAGCACCTTAGGAACAAAGATGAAAAGACAAACCATGAAAAAAGAAAGAGTGGGTAATTTGAATTCTTCTAAAACGAGGGTATTAAATAGCACTGAGATTTTTTTTATGATGAGAAACCCTAAACTCCTTTTCATCTGTTTATATTCATCCACTTGTTTCATATTGTACTTGTTTCAACAGGGGTGATGCTGCTGAAGCTAGACTATGAGAGGGAGTTGATGCACATTGTGTTAGCCATTTAGAAGTAGCGGCCTTATTTATTGGGCCAACATTTTCTTGTTAGGACAGATTAGAGGAGTATGAATTTTTTGTTAGAACAAAGGATGGTGACCGAGGAACACCTGAGGTGGCTATCCAAGCTATTGAGTTATGACTTTGAAATCCAATACCAATGTTTAAAATTGCGTAATCAGGTATTGAGGAGTTTTTCGTTCGTGAGGCGAGGCGTAAGCCTCAAGGCGTTTTGAGATGTAAGCCTCAAAATTAAAAGATTACGTAAACATAAAATGATAAATTTTTTTATGTACTAATGAGTAAAAAATATAAAACATAAAAAAAGCACAAGATCTGAAGTGAAATCAAAATATCCCAATAATAAGACTATAAAATATAATACAACCATTACTACAGATGATGAATACAACAATATGTCGGGCAGCCGGGGGTCCAAGCCGGCGCTGCCCCCTAGTGGTGCTATTTTTTTTGTAGGAGTATTTTTGAAGTTCTGCTTATTTTTAAAGTTTCGTAAGTCGTTTTTATGGAAAGATACCGAGCAATACCGAGCATGTACCTAGCAGTACTGAGTATGTACCGAGCGGTACCGAACATGTAACTAGCGCTACCGAGTATGTACCGAGCAGTACGGAGTGGTACCTAGCATTGTTGTACAGAGGCAGACGCCTCTAAAACATGAGGAGAGGCGCGCCTCAGTGGCATTGAGGCGTACGCCTCAATGCCAGCTCCCGTTGCTAGGCTTTGAGGCATAAAAGTTTAAAATTGCGTTGAGGCGCGCCTCTTATTGCGCAATTTTAAACCATGTCCAATACAAGCTAGGATTAGAGAATAAGACGGCTGACGTCTTATCCAGATGCATGGGGAAGCTCTAAGGGATGGTCATTTTGATACCACTGATGATAGATTGGGGAGCGATCAAAGAGGAGAATGCAGAATGATGAGCTGAGAAAGATCAAAAGGATGGATCTATTAAGGGATGAGAATAGTAAACCTAGCTATTCCATGGAAGGAGAGAGATTATTGTACCAAATGAGGTTTGTGTTGCCACAAACCTCAGCTCATATTCCTCACCTGCTACAAAAATTTCATGAGAGCGTTGTTGGGGGCAATTCTGGTGTGTAGAAGACATATAAAAGATTGACAGCGGAAATAAATTAGAAGGTGATGCATAGGGAAGTGGAGGAGGTGGCTAGGTGATATGCCAGAGAAACAAGCACATGGCTATAGCTCCCAGGGGATTATTTCAACCCCTATCTCTTCCATGCAAAGTATGCGAGGACACCATGAATTTCATAGATGAACTACCCCAATTTGAGGGGTTTACAATGATTCTAGCGGTGGATGACAAGTTGAGCAAGTATGCTCATTTCATTCCTTTACAGCACCCCTACAAGGCAATGACAATAGCAGTTGCATTCATCAGAGAGGTGGTTTGATTGCATGGGATCACATAGTCGATAGTTTTTGACTGGGATAGGTGTTGCTCAGTTAGTTCTGGAAAGAGTTATTCAGGCTGTAGGAAACAGTTTTAAAGAGAAGCATTGCTTATCACTCTTAGACAAACGGCAGGACAAAGGTGGTAAACAAGAGCCAGAAGACTTACTTTTGGTGTTTTGCTTTAAAAACATCTCGCTTGTGGGCCAAATTACTAGCATGGGCGTAGTACTAGTACAACACTTAATATCATTCAGCTTCCCAGATGACCCCTTTCAAAATGTTGTACGAAAGAGACCTCCCACACTTAGTGCATTTTGGGCGAAGAAACACACCAGCCTCTTCAATAGAACAATACTTGGAGGAAAGAGATAGGGTGTTGGAGAAACTAAATATGCACTTATTGAGGACACAGCATATTATGACGAAGCTGGCTGATGGATACAGGAAGGACATCCATTTCGAAGTAGGAGAAAGGGTGTTCTTAAAGCTACGGCCCTACAGACATAGTACAGTCGCCAACAGGAGGAATGAGAAGCTTGTCCTAAGGTACTTTGTCCCATACGAGGTATTGGAGAGAATTGGAGCAATGGCGTATCGTTTTAGATTACCCTCGACTGCGACTATACATCTAGT